AGAGGAGAACTGTCATGGGAACATGTAATCTGATATTCCTGAGAGGAACAGGAGTCACAGCAAGCGGTGAAACAAGACTAAGCACGCAGATATTTGATTCCAAAGACATCTGGGTGCCAAGTATCCATCCAACCATCCATCCTGAGGTCAAATGTTTTCATACAGAAACACCTGAAGCACAAGCTACCCCAAGGAGGAGGAGCCACAGATCTACTCCCTAGTCTCCTGAATGACTGAGCTTCTCTTTCTTCTTCTTTTTCTTTAAAAAAAGGTTTTTAATGTGTATTTAAATTTTATTACATGGCAGATGTGTGACTGAATAAGTAGGAAGAAGGACCACTAAGAGTAATCAATAAGGATCTGCTGCACAGCTTTCCCAAATAAAAAGCCTTGCAAAAATGACAAATACAATAATCGCAAAAAGGCATGCTGGACTGATTTTATTTCAATTCAGCATGCCTCTCAGCACTAAGGAGCATGCTAACATGATTACTACAACGTGAATTAAGTATTGTCTTTTAATCTTGTTTGCAGGCACATTGCATGGTCAATGCTGCTTTTAAGCTGCTTTTAAGCTGTTTTGATGATTATACTGCATGCCCAATTTAAGATATGCAGGAATCAACATCATTAAGTAATAAATGCACGAAATAAAAAGTAACTTGTATATTTGGAGCGACTTTAGTACCACTGACAATGATGAGCATTAAGTAATTTACCGACCATCAACTCAGAAGAAAGATTGTGTTTTAGCCACACTTAAAAAAACCAAAACTCTGTCAGGAGTATACATGAATATGTTTGTTTGTTTAAGGCAACAGCCACTATAGGTGTGCGATAAAACCTTTCTTTCTCATTTCCAGTAATTGAGGAATTGTTGGAGCATTTTGGGTCAGAAAACCCCCCACAGATGTTTAGAGCAGGAAAAATCCAGTGGATAGTTCAGCAGTGGGCTATTGCTAAAGTGATATATAATGAGAGCAGTGAGTCAGAGGTCCAATAAGAGGGCTAAGTCTCACCCTGTGGACCGGGGATTTACCATCAGAACCGCTACCCTGAATCTCCTTCATCATAACAAAAAAATAACAACTGCAACACTGCGGGCAGAGCGCTGCTGTGATTCTATCTCATGTACACATCAAATCCCAGATACACTCCTCTGATTGGAGGAGGGAGAGGAAATCCTCATCTTGAGTACCACAATCATTAGCGTGAATCACAGCTGCAATTAAAACCTCGTTTATCTTAATTACTGAACTAATGAGACGAGTCCCGCAGGAGTGAGCCGCAGTCTCAGAGGACACTCGGGGTGAGGAGCGGGAAGGCAAGAGAGGAGTCATGCAGAGTCACACTTAAGTCTGCAAACAAGCACGCCCTCGCACCAATCTCAGCAGATAGACAGAGGCATATGTGTAAGCGTGCATGTACAAGCACACACATATAGAGGCTACACACACATATATCCATGCAAAATGCATCATCATATAACCTTACCCTCCCACCTTTATCTCCTAGCACTACATCACCCTTCAACTTCCATTATCTATCAAACTTATAATGATTTTATCAAGCCTACAGACTCCATCTCCATAAGGGCTTAGTGCGGTGCTATAACTCTTGATTTTGCAACGACCGGGAATACATCGCACCACCTAATTAATGTCTTTTTAATGCTTTTCTCCTCCAGAGCTTAACTCAGCCAAGCTCAACTTTGCAACAAGCACAACACACACAACAATACAACATGTGGCAGCAGACGGTAAGTAAGACTGAGTAGGTGTGTGCACTGAATGGGAGCAGCAGGTTTATGGTGAGCTCAGTAAAGAAGTGGGCTGGGCAGTGGCCTCTCTGTCCTGAGCATACAGCTATCAAGCGCACACACTCACAAATAATGCATGGCTGCGCACATGTGTGGACAAAGGGTCAAATTCCTTCGTTCAGCTGTGAGATTGCGCAGTGACTCAGCAGATGGTAGAAGACTGAATATCTTTATCACCACAAATTCCCATGGTGTGCCAAGCATATCAAGCGGTGCCAGCCCTTATCAGCCAGCTGGCAATAGTGGAGGCACCGATGTCCCTCCATCCTGGCCATTCTGGGCTCAACAGGGGGCAAGCAGAGTTTAAAGGATACAGTCCACAGACGGTTGTAATCCTCCCAATGGGTGTTTATTTTCCACCACGCAGATCAATGTTTCAGTCCTGAAGGATCTTTGAGGGATTGTTCGTCCTTCAGGACTGAAACACTGATTGTGGTTGAAATAAACACCCTGCAGGGGTATTAAAGAAGCATTGCAGCAGTGGATGGACAACAGAGTCAAAAGTGTTTGTGTGTTTTATCTTAATAGAAATAGAGATGCTTCATGTCTCTCCTGATTAACTATGATTCAGGTTTGTATTCTCAAACAGGCCGCACAAGTCTGACTGATACGCTCAGCGGCTGTGATGCATACAAGCAACACAACTGGGTCAATTACTCAGATATAAATCATAATTTAAATTGACTATTTGCCGCTCACAGAAGCTTTGTGACAGTCAAGAATAATTTATAATAGTGCTGTCAAAATTACTGCATTCTTTTTTGTGAGTCAATTGTAATATCTGACACATTAGAAAGAAAAATGAACACAATTAGCACGGCTAGATCACTTCACAAGTTGTGTAGGGTTCTGTAAATTGCACAGGTGGCTCACCGTCCCCGTGTCAAAACAGGTGTTAATGTGCATCAATGAGGAGAAAAAAAGAAACAGCTGAGGGTAAACTGATGGAACAGTCATCAGGTAAACTTGTTTTCCATTCTCTTCAGATACGATGTCAACAAATAGCACTAACATTAAGTTAATGTGCAGTCAACTCTCGATCTGTCTGTGTCTGGCCTGCATCCACTTCCATGAGTTCTGCTTTTCTGGCACATGAAAATACATTCATATCCATGTGCACAAAAAAAAGTCTGCCTTCCAGTAATTAACTCTATAAACATTTGTCCAGGCCAATTACCCTGGGGCAACGTTGAAACTTAAAACGAGCATGCTTAAGTTTAAAATAAGGAAATGGACTCAAGCAAGATGGCGTCACAGTGACTACTGATTTGGAGAAAATTAAAAAAGGTTGATTAGCTGGGTATACTGGGCAATATGATTACATTTCTCTCAATAAATATTACTAAGTATTCATTCAAGCCACAGGACTGTGCAAAAGCCTTCAGCTACCTGTCATTTATTTATCATTTGATAGGAAAATAGGAGATAAGTGCATCAATTTATAGAGATATTAGACAGTCAACATGCTTTTAACGAATTCGGCAGTGTGTTTGGGATCATCATCAAGCTGAACTGGCAGATATGCAGTCCCAAACCTTGACGGAGCCTCCACCGTGTTTTACAGAGGGCTGCAGACACTCACTGTTGCACCTCTCTCCTGTGTAATTTGATATACTTCAGCCTTTCTCACAATAACCAAAGAAAGTCTTTGAAAGATGTTCAGAAAGTCTTGATAAGTATCGCCTCACGAGCTCTTGAACAACAGTCTTGCTACTTTGAAGTAAAACATAAAGAAATGAGTGGTGATTCAAGACTTTTGCACATTACTGTAAGTATGGGTTATTTATATTTAATGTTAATATTCACTTCCACTTATTCCACTTAGAGGAAATTAAATTCTATATTAATTCCATGCTTTTTTCCATTCTTCGAATTTATTGCAATTAATCCCAGCAAATCTTTTCATTAATTCCTTTTCTTTTAAACTGATTAAGAGTTGTAGTTACAAAATAATAGCATCTTAAAAAAGAGAGTAATTGACTACAGCAGGAGGAATTTAGGATATTGTCATCATTATGTCATTAAGCTGTTCTGAGTTATGCTTCCTGCATTAAGAGCTAACTGTAAGATAAATTGGCACAGGTGTAAACATGACAGCTGAATCATTCACTTAATCTAGTTATATTCATAATACTGGGGTGCATTTAAAGTTTATCCTGTTACATAGTCAGTCAATATTACTCTTGTTGTAACTTCTCCCAGATATCCATCTGCACCTTTAGCGCAAGCTTAACAACGAGTTTTACAGGATTACGAAGCATGTGAAGCCAGTTTTACAGAGCAAAGTGGTGCAGTGGCGCATAAAGATTAAGACACAAAGCTACAAAGTGTGTGCAGAGTTAATACGCAATGCTTTTGCTGCATGCCGTTAGTACTCATAACAATAATTATTTCACGAAATCTTTATATTAATTTGATTCCTTGAGCCTCGGAAGGATGAATATAGTATTCATGTCATTACAAATACCTGTCTATCCCCAGATACGGATCAACACCAAAGTTTAACTTTAAGCAACCTTGCCCCAGGGTCAATCTGTCCACCAACTTTCATGAAGTCAGTTCAGTTTGTGAGATATCTTCCTGGCAGACAGACAGACAAAGCAACTGGCAGGCATAAACATCATATCCTTGGCAGAAGTAAGAAAACTGAGTATTTAATGCAGGATCACTGCTTCATCCTTATCAGCACCATACAAGCTGTACAACTCCAAAGTAAAGCTCTCAGATATAGTAACACCAACACAAGTCAGGGATTTCCGAAGTGAGCTTAATATGGCGGTCATTTGTTTTGGCCCTTTATCTCAAATCTAAAACAAAATCTTAAAGAAAACAAAACAAAAAAAAACGCAAACGGAGACGACAACAGAAAAATCGTGGCATCCTTCTCGTCTGCCGAAGGTAAAATTTGTCACGCTGACAAATCATAATCCTGTTTTGATGGCACAAGCCAACTTAAGAATGATAACACAAAATGAAAGCTGACTTCTGCATAACTGAACCAAAACAGTGATTAATAAATGCTCAGAGCCAAGCCTATTCTCCAATTCTGAGGCGCTCCTCTCTGCTGTTATTGACTGTTGTGCTTGATGAGACTTGTCTATTATTACTGCGGAATTATGATAAGAGGTGATCGATTCCCCTCTATGTGCTGCGGATGTCAGATCGATTATGTGACTCAGACCTGTGATGATGGTGTAGCCGATTCCTCTTGGTCGACCAAGATCCTGGTCAATGGCTGTTATCTTCCGCACTTCGTATCCCTGCAGAGACACACACGCACGCACAAATATAACCTGTAAGCTGCATGCAGTCTTCACAGACACATTTTTTTAGTTGTTGAAAAGTAGTTTCCACTTTAATCAGAGAAAAAACAATAACATCAAACCCTTGGGACACAGTTAGCAGTTTTTGCTAAATAAAATACAACTACATGCTATTTTGTCCTCTGCTATGTGCACACAGGATGATAGACGCCTTGAATGTGTTTGAAATCTCCCTTTCTCTTTTCTTCTTTTAAAAATCAGGACAGGATACCTTAGTTTATACCGGTGAATCAAATATCTGTAACCAAAGCATCAACAAGCTAACAGAATATTCCTAGGCATATCAAAACCGTAAATATCCACTTATCTCTCACAAAGACGTGCCCATCAAATTTTAAAGCATAACAGTATCGTATTTCCAATCCTCCTTTGTATCTCTTCAATGGAGAGGGTGGAAAAAAATGTAAAAAGTGCAGGCAAATCACAAACTATTTTTTCTTTATGTGTGTTATTAGCATTTCATTGGGGTTTATTTCTCCTTTCATTGTTTCGAAGTTCCCCTGCTGCGTCAATGACTCTGCTACTCAACAAAACCACAGTGTGACAGCTGAAAAAAGAGAAGAAAAAAAATCAAAACGAAAGACAGAAAGCTATTTGAAAAGTCTTTGATCCGCTGAGCTTTCTCAGCCTTCTTGCCTCAATCAGACGCAGCGGTGGTACTTAAAAACCCCTGTGCTGCAGTGTGAGATTGAGAGACCTTCCCTTACTTCCTTCCTTCTCTCCTCCCTCCCTCCCTTACTCCCATCTCAGCCCTCTCACTCACACCCGAACAGGCTGCCTCCCATTGATCCTGCAAATTGTGTCTAAGACGTGTTTATGCTCCATTTCTGCCAAAGCATCTCCTGTCATTGACCAATTACAGCAGAATCAATTACAAGCCTTTTAGAGAGACTGATTCGCACCTATCACAAACTGAGGGGGAAACACACCCACACACACACACAAACGAGAAAGATGCAGGGACATACTAAGAGAGGAATAGAGAAAGTGAGTGTGGAGAAGTGATGCTGAAGTAATATGAGCAATATTCTCGAGCTGTCCACACAAGTGCAATATGTTCAATCAAGCGTCAAAGATACAATCCCTCCCCTCCTTCACACACATGCAGACACACACTAACATGTATACACTGAACCTCTTCTCCCTCTTTTCATCCTTTCATTTCTAGCTATACAGTGCATTACCCCCCCATCCTCCTCTCCTTCTCCTCATTGAGTTGACAGCCAAATTGCGTTTGTCCTAGAAGGGGCTTAAACGTCAGTCCGAGCACAGATTCACAGCTATAACAGCTAAAAACCCTGCCCTGTGATTTCATCTGAAAATAATAATAATAAAAAAAAGCATTTCTTCTACTCCTTTGTCAAACTTTTCCCTGGATGACTGCTTGATTGGCCCAGGAATAAAAGAAAGACAGAAACAGAGAAACAAACAGGCCGCCAGAGAGGGAAAGGTAGAAACAGAGCGTGCGCACTTACACCTTTGAGAAATGACCTATGACAGGGACCCAAGTTTGATATCTCTACGTGTAAATGTCAAGGGCCTTGAGAACAGTTGACACTCATTCCGTCACTGTACGCCCTCGGCTTATCACCACCAAACACTGCATAATGGAAATGACACAGAATACCACATGAGGTCATTGAAGGAGTGTCTGTGTATAAGTGTGGTGCTGCTGCGGGCTTGTACTTATGTGTCTGGCTTTAAGCACTGTTGTAATCCTGTGTCTGTAGTGGGGTCAACAGGGCTAAGTAATAGATTTCTGATTTTGGCTGTGTATCTGCCGTGACCTGCTCTTACATTGTAACTGTAATAGGATTAGACACTGCCCCCTACTGTTAGAGGTAAGAGATGAGGCACTCCGAGGCAGTATTACTGAGGATTAAAGCTTCCAAGCTGCTGTGATCTGGAATCCACTTACTAATGTTAACTTTACGATCCAATGTAATTGGACTCTTTTTAAAAAAATCTTCCCTCTTATTCCCTCATCTAACTTTATACCTGGCTTTTTTTCTTCTCTCCGGTCACCTTTTTCTCATTCCACCCCGACATCCTATTCTCTTTCCATACCCTCACACCTCCCCCCTTCCTCCTATTGTGACCTTCCTGGTGACAGTTGATGAATCAGAGAGTCCGGGAGACACCGGGCTTCGACTCCGTCACGCCCCGTTAATATGCATGCAAATGTAGCACTTGACATTTCTACTACAGCGCATTCGGGCTGGGAACGAGGGACGTGCGGGTTGTTGTGTGAGTCGGGGGGCTGATATGGGTGAGAGACTGGGGACGAGACAGAACGAAAACTGATAGAGTGAGAAACCACAATCGGGACGGACAGTGTTATGCCCCTGTGTGTAATTCTCTCTCTACAAGTGGAAACATCAGTAGCTGGACCATTAGCCACCTGGGAACTGAGTTTAAGAGCTGAGCCAGGAGAGTGAACATAATGGTGTACAGAGAAACAGACATTTAGTGTATCACATACCCATTATAAACCTACTTGAAACTGAAACAAAGCTACGGCCATTTTGAGTCCCTAATGTACTTCATGTTATACCCAGACTTCATACACATGCCACAGTATGAGCGCATAAGACCAGAAATCCTGTAGCCCTTGTGACCTTTGGCAGGGGCTTCGCATCTATGGATGAGGATTGTAAATCTATAACAGTAATTACCATCTTCAACCACCACAGTGCTGTATATGGGGGCACTGGACTGAATTTGGGTGCATTTCCAACATTTCCAGTGTTGGAGGCTCAGGAGTGACGATAAGATGTGAAATATCATGCCGTCATTCAATTAGAGTCAATTCAGTTTTTTTTATAGATGGGCGATCGTGGCTCAAGAGTTGGGAGTTCGCCTTGTAATCGGAAGGTTGCCGGTTCGAGCCCCGGCTCGGACAGTCTCGGTCGTTGTGTCCTTGGGCAAGACACTTCACCCGTTGCCTACTGGTGGTGGTCAGAGGGCCCGGTGGCGCCATTGTCCGGCAGCCTCGCCTCTGTCAGTGCGCCCCAGGGTGGCTGTGACTACACTGTAGCTTACCATCACCAGTGTGTGAATGGGTGGATGACTGGATAGGTAAAGCGCTTTGGGGTCCTTAGGGACTAGTAAAGCGCTATGTAAATACAGGCCATTTACCATAGAGCCCAAATTACAACAACAATCACCTCAAGGTAATTTATAGTGTAAGGTATGGCCCCAAAAATAATACAGAGAAAACCCCAACAGTCAAATGACCCCTCTGAGCAAACACGTGGCAAAAGTGGGAAAGAAAAACTCCCTTTTAACAGGAAATAACCTCTGGCAGAACCAGACTTGGCAGTGAGGAGAGGGAGACAGGACAAAAGACACACTGTGAGTTCAATTGTAAACACATAGAGGTGAGTGAAGGAGAAATGCTCATAGCATCATGGGAAACCCCCACAGCCAAGACCTGTTACAGCCTAACTAGGGGAGGATTCATGGTCAGCTGATCTACTATAAGCTTTATCAAAAGGGGGAATTTTAAGCCTAACCTAAAAAGTACGAACCATCTGTATCCTATTCAGATTGGGAGCTGATTCCACAGAAGAAGGTCCTGAAAGCTAAAGGCTCATTCTCCCATTCTGCTTTTAGAAACTCTTTGTTTTTAATCATATTTCTTTGCACGAGTTGTATACACCTACTGAATAATCAAAGAGCAACATGAGCATGAGACAGGAGGAGCGGGATATGAGAAATGAGGTAAAATATAAGTTGAATGTTCTGGCATCAGAGCAGGATGGAAAGAAAGAAAAGACGAAAGCTGCTTGAAGAGGGTACACACTGTGGTGGTGAGATGTAAAGTGGGACTGTATTACTGACCAGGGGAACATCCTCCTCTATGTTGGTACTGTAGGGCAGATTGGTGAAAATGGGATCCATGTCTTGGACATCAGTGATGGTGATAGCCAAGCTGGCAAGCCGTGACAGAGGTCTGATTTTGTCTTGATCCTTTCAGAAACCAAAAAACACAAACAAACAAACACAGTATACATTTAACAGCGCTAATGCAATTTTGCTAACAGAGACTAAGTTTTGATACTGTATGTGTGCTGACCGTAGCGTTGACGGTGAGCTGGTAGGCTGTCGTCGTCTCATAGTCCAGAGCTCTGGTCACAGTGACAGTGCCTCGGGCTCCATCAATGGCGAAAAAGGCAGAAGGTGGCTGAAAGGAGAAGAGAACACTGCCCCCAGTGCCTTGGTCTGGATCGGAGGCGTTTACCATGAATATGGATCTGCCCACTGGTGTGTCCTGAAAGACACATCAAAGAAGACACACAGAGAAGTGAATATATACAAACAACAACCCAAGTGTATGCAGGAAGATATAATAATAATGGATTGGATTTATATAGCACTTTTCAAGGCACCCAAAGCTATTCATTCACTCTCACATTCACACACTGGTGGAGGCAAGCTACAGTTGTAGCCACAGCTGCCCTGGGGCAAACTGACAGAAGCGAGGCTGCCATGTCGCGCCAACACCAGTAGGCAAGTAGGGTAAAGTGTCTTTCCCAAGGACACAACGACCAGGACAGAGAGCCCAGGGATCGAACCGGCGACCTTCCGGTTACAGATGCGCTTCCCAACCCCCTGAGCCACGGTCGCCCACATATCTCCTATAATTACATTTAAAAGTCAGAGAAAAATAAAGAATGAAGCAGGTACAGGTTTTATTAACTACGAAAGCAACAGATGGCAGTTTAACTTAATTAATAATTATTATTATCCAAAACAATTTGGTTGTGATTGCGATTGATCCCCAGCAGTGTTTCCCATGAATAATGACATCTAATAACAAAGTATTTGTAGTCCATCTGGATAAATAAAAGCAATGATTTCAGTAATACAGCTAAACTGACGCGAATGTGAAACAATAACCCCAACGTTGGTTTTGAGTTGTCCGTGGAGATCAGGCACACAAGACAAATTTATGGCAGACTTAACCCTCTTGTTTGCAAGTGAAAGAGCAACTTGCCGGGGTAAGGCAAACTGTTGTTGTTACAATAATGCATCTATCCCTACAACAGAAAGTATTTCTTGCGCTTTGCTGTCTGTAAATATATGCATTGCCTATCTGTGTTGCCCACAGAAATGGTCTTGGGTATCAAAAAGCTAAAAGCAAAGATATATGAAATGCCCAGAAAGGCTGCAAGATGCTACACCAGAGGGTCATGTGTGAAATAAAAAACCAAACAAACAAAAGAAAAAATTAAATAAAAAAAAGAGAAGGCTGTATAAAGACACACATTTTCCAGGTAGCCCGAAAAGTCTGTGGAACAACGGCATCATTAATTGGAATTTTATCTCAAAACAGCCACAAATACATGCACGATTAATAAGAAATGAGAATGTGTACAGGTACAGAGGGGAAAGGACGTGAAGGAGGATGGGACGCATCCTGATATTCCACTAAAAAAGAAAAAGAAAATCCACTTGCACAGGTCTTCTACTCTCTCCTCCTGTTTACCAGACCTGTAGACACAGACCAGAGAGTGTGTGTGTGTATGTGTGTGTATGTATGGGTGTCTACGTTTACGTGTGTGTGTGGTCTTGTCTATCGCAGGGGCAGAGTGTGACCACATGGGGAGGTCATAGTGTTGAACTGAGCTGGGCCCTGAGCCAGAGCTAAAGTGACACAGTAAGAGAGCAGTTGACCCCACAGTCTGTCTGCACTGGTGTCAGGGGAGTGTAGAAGCCTATTTGCATGTGCATGTGTGTGTGTGTGTAAATAGTGGTGTGTCAGAGTCCATGAAACTGTGTAACTGTGTGTGAACGCCTGGGTTAGAGGGGGTAGACAGTATGAGCAGAATCAGACCTCGCGTGGGCATATGTGTGTACGCATTTGTAATTTGTGTAATGAAATGTGTGCTCTGCTCTCTCGGAGTGGTCTCTGCATGCAAACATAAACAGCATCGCAAACGGGTCTGTCCAACCACATTAAGCTAGACTGCCATATGAGAATTTAAGGAGAGCAACAAATGTCAACGAGAGTAACAGAGCAAGTTTTTTACCCCTGGAATCCTCGCTGTGTTGTGTAATGTATGCAGACGGGGTCCCGGATCGTTTCTCAGATTTATGTAGTGAAAATTAATATAATTTACTTTTTTTTAAAAAAATTTTTTTTTAAAGTAGGTCTGAAAGTTGTGAATGCTCAGATGTAATCGGAGGCCTCGGGTTAACATTATATTTCTTTTAGTGCAGTTGCTCTGACTACAGGGAACGACACTGTGGCAATAAGAGCGAAAAAGGAAGAGCAGAAAATCTATTTCTTGTTAGAAAAAAATGAAAATAAAAACTAATTTTTAAAAATTGAGAACAACAACCAGAGCTGACAGCTTTCAGTCACTTTCCATGCTCTGCTCTCTCTTTTTGGGTCCCTGAGAAGCTCTGCTGCATCACTTTGAGTGTAACCTGGCTGACAATTGCCGAGTGAAGGAACAGAGTTACTAATCCACTCCCCCACAACAATAACTGCATTTGAATAAACATCTAAGCTGCATTTCTCTGATATATTTAATATGTTTGTCAAGTTGTCTGCTTAGGAGGAAATTGGAAACACCTCTAAAGGTACCCCACAGCCTGCAGCGCGACACCCGAGCACAGCAACAAATTAATTGGATGAAAATATACGCAATCAAACTCTAGGTGAATTAATTAAATACTGTTGCATGTAACGTGTGTGTGTGTGTGTGTGGAATGGATGTCGACATTATCAATTCTGCTTTGATGTCAAGGAGGCAGTTTGATGGTTAAGTGTTGTGTTGGGTGAATGCATGTATGTGTGTGTGTGTGTGTGTGGCACTTTTTGGAAAAAGTGTTAGGATGATATCTAAATGTGTGTGTGTGTGTGTGTGGATAAAGAATGTGATCTGATGTATCCTTTTCTTCCCCTGAAGCATGCCACCTTCTATCTCTCTTTGCGCAGCAACCTGTGAAACAATAACTCATAAACACCGCCAGGGTCAAACGCCACAAGGTTCGGTAAATAACGCAACGCGCTCATATATGTAAACGCACACGCGCGCACACGCCAGCACCAGTTTTGATCTCTCAGATTTGACAGAGGCACAGCATTCAAAGCACTTCAAGCAACAACAGTTCAAAGCTTTGCCAGGATGTGCAGATGACCAACTCTCAGCAGAATGTGTCAGTGTGCCAGTGTGGTGCTGCTCAGGTTAGCGGGCTCGCCTGCGTGAGGGTGAAACTCGCGTCTGAGCCGCTATTCGATTTTTTTGGAATCTCTCCCTGAAAACTGAATGCGAACATTAACCAGTCACATTATTCAGTCTTATCTTCTTGCTTCCCTTTAGTCTCTGAAGGTCAAACTGCTCAGTTTGCATAAACGGTGCATTTTAATACTAAGAGCAAAACAATAAAGCAACCTATTTAAAGAGTTTCCTTGGATCGTCAGCTCCTCTTGATGGATTTCTCTGCATTCCAGCAGTCCAACACTAAAGAGAGCTCCACGGCCTGAAATATTCTCTAAGCAGCCACTACACAATACTGTCTTCTACTAGCACTTTTCTCCTTTCCAATTGGTCACAGCACCCTTCCTATTGGGCTATTGATTGGACTCGTGTGAAGTCGATGTGAGTGACCAGGCGCAAAATACAAGGCAGTGAATAATTCTGGTTTTATTAACCTATAAGACTACGCAATCATTTCTCCATAAATGAGACAGACAGTAAACAACAAGGACACAAGAATGGGTGAGCACTGGCAGCTAAACTGGATACTACTGAATGCTAGTTGAGAACCATGTATGTGTCACTACCTATATCTTCAAAAGAGCAAAAGCCAATTGGTTTGTCACGGCACATATTCCAGCATATAAGCCTTGACAGTGCTTTGCAGCTTTTGAATAAATGGGGCTATTTCCTTGGGAAGAAGAATGTTAAGTGGAGAGATGGTTGAGGAGGGATGAAGACAGTTCCCTGCTGTGTCTTATCTGAAGTGCACTGTGGGAATCACTCTTCTCCCTCTGAGAACTGCTACTTATGAAAGAAGGAGAAACATACAGCAGAGATATATAGAAAGATAGAGACGGAGGAGCATTCTGTTTATGGTACAATTCAAATATTAACTGAGAGCTAATACTAATTTTGTGTCACAGTAACGCTGAAATGCATAAAAAATGAACATAAAAAACCCTCAAATGCAAAAGTGCTCCCACTAAATACTCCTACTAATATTTAAAATGAAAAAAAAAAAGACATTTTTAATTGCTACCTGTGTTATTGTAATCAGTTTGATAGATTTTACAGAACCTACTAACCTAATAACAGAGCAAAAAAAAAGTATCCTTACATTTCTATAGTCCAAAAAATTTCAAAATACAATTATGCTGCAGCACCGATCAATGAAAGAGTGAGAGAAACTGCGGCATCGATGAAACTTCCCAGGAGCTTTGTGGGCATCATTGTGAAAAGGAAGAAATCAGGAAGCACATTTCTGACTTGGCCTTTCAGCCAACTCAGTAAAAGTTTAAGGAAGGAAGGCAAGTGACCAAGAAAGTAGTGCTCACTTCAGTAATACCTCTGAGATCCTCTACAGATAGATAGATGCTGGACAGTTGCCTGTGCAGCATTACGTCAATTAGGCTGTAGAAGTGTGGCTAAAAGAAAGTCATGCCAGTTGTCAGACAGCACTTAAAAGGCAAAGCGCTGGACGAAGAGTACTCTATGTCATAGATAATGTATATAATATCAATATACGTCTGGTGAATTTCTTGGTACATCACCTTTCTTATCAAGCATGTTGTGCACAGTTTGCAGTAGCCAAGGATTCTTATCAGGGACAGAGACAAATCCTTGAGAATAAATAGCTTATGCAAGACACACTTAACCAAAATATTTCAGATCACATCCTATCATGCACACCCAGAGGACGGTGCTGGGACCGTTTCTGAAAAATCGAACAGTCCAAGATTAGCTGAACACCTCTGATGTGCTCAGTGAAGTCCTCTGACTAACATAGGCAGCAGAATTTTTTAGGAATGATTTCCAATTAATATCAATTAATAAACCTTAAACAGTGTAAGTTCTACTCCAAAGCAAATGAAAACGTACTATTTCAGTGTTTCATCTTAACTCTGCAAAGACAAAAGTATGAAGAAGGTCGTAAATGTGACACGAAAAAACAGACTACAAGTTGTAAGGAGACTGAAAGAACGCAGACTGCGATAAAAGGAAGGGGAAGACAGAGAATACAGATGAGGAAATCAAACTGAAGGCCTGTCACTAACAACCA